CATCCCCCGAGGGCTGTCAGGTTGCCAGAGGGATGTCTGATTGCCATTTTAGGCCCAATCCCCCAGGGAGCAGTCCTAAGCCAGCAGGTGGTCATCCCCTGAGGGGTCCCAGGCTGTGAGAGGGCACAGGCCAGGGTGAGGAACTCCCCTCCCCGCACCCCGAGTGCACAAATTTTTGTGCACCGGGCCTCTAGTTTAACAATATAAGGGGAAAATAGTAAGTTTATAGTACAGAATCCTAGCGGGCAACATCGGAGCCAACTGATCAAGGTTAACATCACCAATAATCATTTGACATCAAGCACCCTTGTTAGGATATACTGAGGAGGGAACCTCGCTTCTGTGGTATCTTTTCCAGTAATCAAGATAAACCATCAAACAAACCCAAATTGAAGGGCATTCTACAAAATAACTAATCAGCTCGCTTCAGAAATATCAAGGTCATAAAAGACAAGAAAAGACTAAGAAAATAAGAAATGACAAATGAGATATACTTCTTACAATTTTACTATAAGTGTAAAATCATTTTTTAGAAACTTATAGAACATAAAAAGTAGTCCCAACAAATTATTTTTATATATTTCTCTTGACCAAAAATGTTAATATCAAGTCTAACAACTCCAAATATTAATAAGATCAGGCCCTAAATAACCTATAGCTGCTTTTAAAAATTAAATTCTCTAGGGGGGTGAGGGCATGAGTGGGAGGGCAATGGGGTATAAGGACACATATGTAATACCTTAATCAATAAAGAAATCAAATTCTGCCTCAAAAAATAAAAACCTATTATATATAAAATCTTAAGAGTAATTTCTAACAGATAAAATATATAAACATGAAGTTTCTCATTTTAAGTGTTTTTAAATGTACAGTTCAGTAATATTAAATATTCATAAAGTTATACAGCCATTATCACCAGCATGTCCATAGTACTTTTCATTTTATAAAACTGAAACTCTCCCCATGAACCAATAAAACCCCATTCTCCATTCCTTAGACCCAGACAACCATATTATATTGTGTTTATGATTATAACACTAAGTTTCTCATATAAGTGGAACCATACTGTGACTGGCTTATCACTTTTAGAAAAAGGTCCCCAATGTTCATCCATTTTATACCTATGTCAGAATTTCCTTCCTTTTTAAGACTGTCTTGTATTTGTTGTAAATATAATGTATTTCATTGTGTTCATATACTACATTTTGCCTATTCATTTATCCATTACAGGACACTTTAGCTGCTCCCAAGTTTGACCTAAAATGAATAATGCTGCTATGAATGTGGGTATACAAATATCTTTTTGAATCTTTATTTCACTTTTTTAGGAGTATACACCCAGAAATGGAATAGCGGGATAATATGGTAATTCTATTTTTAATTTTTTGAAGAACTGCCATATGCGTTCCCATAGCAGCCTTGCCATTTTTCATTCCCAGCAACAGTGCACGAGGGTTCCTATTTCTCCACGTCATCAGCAACACCTTTTATTTTCTGTTTATGTGATAAAGTCATCCCAATGGGTGTGGGGTGGTATCTCACTATAGTTTTTTTTTCTCACTATAGTTTTAATTTACATTTCCATAATGATCGAGGATGCTGAGCATCTTTTTTTAAATGTGATTCATTTTTTTTCTTAATTTCCTTAAAACTTCTATATTGATTTTAGAGAGAAAGGAAGGGAGAGGGAGAGAAAGAAACATCAATGTCAGATCGAAATATCAATTGGCTGCCTCCTGCACACCCCCTACCAAGGAGTACACATGAAGGACCTATCTCTTAAGTAAGCCTGGATAATTTCTTGTAAGAGGCAAATGAGAGGGGTGCATAAGGGTTTTAAACATCTAGGTACACGTGGTTATATTTCTTCCTATACTGATGTATATATTTTAAATGCATAAATTGTATACTTTCCCAAAAACATTCTGACCATATTGATAAACTAATGGTTGTCTATTTTATTTTTAAAATTTTGTATTTATTTTTACTTTTTTATTATTGAATTTATTTGGTGACATTGGTTCACAAAACCATACCAGTTTCAAGTGTACAACTCAACAAAACATCATCTGCACACTGCATCATGTGCCCATTGCCCAAAGCAAAGTCTCTATCCATCCCCAATTATCCCCACTTTGCCCACTTCATCCCCGTTTCCCTCTGGCTATCATCACACTGTTGCCGGTGTCTACGTATTTTATGTGTGTGTGTGTGTGTGTGTGTGTGCCAGGAATCAAACCAGCAACTTTTTGGTGCAATGGATGATGCCCAACCAACTGAGCCACTCCAGCCAGGAAGAGCATCTTTTTATGCACTTATTTAATTGACTATCCATATATCTACTTTGGAATAATGACTATTCAAGTCCTTTGCCCATCTTTTATTATTTTTTAAATTTTTAAAAATTGTATTGGTGTGACATTGGTTCACAAAACCATACCAGTTTCAACCCTTCATCTCCTTTACCTTCTTTCATCCAGCCAGCCAAGCCCCCTCCCCTCTGACAGCTATCATTTTGTTCCTTGTATCCATGCCTCTGCGGGGGGGGGGGGGGGGGGGGGGGGTGAGGAAAAGTGTGTGTGGGTTGGGTTGAGTATGTGGAAGTCGGTGAAGATTCCACATATAAGATCATATGGTATTTATCTTTCTCTGACTGGCTCGTTTCATTTAGCATAATAATCTTCAGGCCCATCTATGCTCTCCGCAAAAGGAAAGATTTCCTTCTTTTTTATGGCCAAGTAGTATTACATTGTGTAAATGTACCACAGCTTTTTTATCCACTTATCTACTAATGGCACTTGGGCTGCTTCCAGATCTTGGCTATTGTAAATAACACTGCAATAAATATAGGGATGCATATGTTCTTTTGAATTAGTGTTTCCAGTTCCTTCAGATATATTCCAAGAAGTAAAAACTCTGGGTCAAAAGGCAGATCCATTTTTAATTTTTGAGGCAATTCCATACTGTTTTCCACTATGGCTACACCTGTCTGCATTCCCATCTGCAAAATGCACGAGGGTGCCCTTTTCTTCAAATCCTCACCAGCACTTATTTGTTGATGATAGCCATTCTAGCATTTGTGAGGTGATATCTTACAGTGATTTTAATTTGCATTTCTCTGATGATTAGTGACATAGAGCATCTTTTCATATGTCTATTGGCCATCTGTACATCTCTGTGGAGAAGTGTCTATTCAAGCCCTTTGCCCATTTTTTAAATTGGATCGTTTGGGATTTTTTGTTTTTAAATATATTTTTATTGATTTCAGAGAGGAAGGGAGAGGGAGAGATAGAAACATCAATGATGAGAATCATTGATTGGCTGCCTCCTACATGCCCTACATTGGGGATTGACCCTGCAATCCTGGCATGTGCCCTGACCTGGAATCAAACCATGACCTCCTGGTTCATAAGTCAATACTCAACCACTGAGCAATGCCAGCCGGGTAAATCACTTGTTTTTTAAGTGTTGAGTTGTATACCAGTAAGTTCATTATATGTTTTGGAAATTAACCCCCTATCAGATGCATCATTGGCAAATACATTCTCCCATTCAGTGGGATGTCTTTTCATTTTGTTGGTTTCTTTTGCTGCACGAAAGCTTTTCAGTTTGATGTAGTCCCATTTGTTTATTTTTTGTTTCCCTTGCCTGAGGAGATATATCAGAAAAAACATTGCTACAAGAAATGTCTGAAATTTTACTGCCTATTTTTTCTTCTAGGATATTTATGGTTTCACAACTTTTTTTTTTACCCGTTATGAGTTTATTCTTGTGTATGCTGTAAGTTAATGGCCTAGTTTCATATTTTTGCATGTTATCTGTCTAATTTTCCCATCATAATTTTTTGAAAAAACTGACTTTATCCCATTGAATGTTCTTGCATTCTTTGTCAAATATTAATTGATCATAAAGGTGTGGGTTTATTTCTATGCTTTCTATTCTGTTCCCTTGATCTGTATGTCTGCTCTTGTACCAATACTATGCTGTTTTGATTACTACGGCCTTGTAGTTTAGTTTGATATCAGGTAGTGTGATACCTCAAGATTGCTGAGGCTATTCAGAGTCTTTTGGGGTTCCATATACATTTTTGGAATATTTATTCTAGACATTTGAGACATGCCATTGGTATTTTAAATAGGAAATGCACTGAATCTGCAGATTGCTTTGGGAAGTATGGACATTTAATGATGTTAATTTTTCCTATCAATGAATACAGTATATGCTTCCATTTACTTATATCTTCCTCAATTTCTTTCTTTAGGGTCATATAATTTTCTGAGTTCAGGTGTTTTACCGCCAGGGTTAAATTTATTCCCAGGTATCTTTTTTTGTTGTTGCAATAGTAAATGAGATTTTTTTTAAATTTCGCTTCCTGGTAATTCATTATCCTATATAGTAAAAGCCTAATATGCTAAGTGTCCGACCGTTTGACCAGTCACTATGACATGCACTGACTACCAGGGGGCAGATGCTCTGACCAGGAGGTTAGCTTGATGCTGGGGTTTGGCTGATCAGGCCTGGGCGAGATGGGCCGGATACACCCTGAAGCCCTCCCGTGGTCCCTCTCAGATCAGGGCCAATCGGGCCTCGGCGAGACAGGCCAGACACACCCTGGAGCCCTCCTGCAGCCCCTCCCCAGCAAGCCAATCTGCCATGGTCCCTCCCCAGCCAGCCAGCCTCAATCAG